CATACAGGCCACGGAGGCCAGCGCACAGGAGAAGCTGCCAACTTCACACACCTCAGACGCATGGAAAACAATGGCCAGACTTGGCCACGTGTTCTCCCAGCATTACACTTGGAAGAACCATGCTAAGCTTTCAAAAAATAGGCATCCTTTTCTGACGGCAGAGGGTACCTGCTACCGATGCTCACAGGTGGCTTTGCTGGCCAGCGTACCCAGGGAAGGTGCTCGGAAGCAGGCCTGGGTTTCAGTTTGGAATTTACAGTTGTGGCAATCACTCTTCCTCAGACAGCCCCTCCTAGATTGGCAGTCTTGGCTGTCAAGACCCAAAATGCCAGGCACAGTGCATTCCCCGAAATGTGGCAGGATCTGCAGGCATTTTTTATCTCTTTAACCCCTGGCTTTGTGTCAGAGGGAGAAGAACGGGAACAGTTTTCTGACACCAAAACCCTACGCCACCTTTGGAATGGCCTCATCTCCTCTCTCTCTCTCTCTCAACAGGGAGCAGCCCCGGGGCTGGCGGGAGGAAGCTGGGACACCTGGGCCAGGCCTGTGGCAGGCCGGCTGGCCCCCAGCAGGCAGCTGTGTGTGTGGGGTGAGCGGGAAGGGGGGGGTGCAGCTTGGCTCAAATGCTGCTTAGTCAGGCTCCAATGCCTAGCTGAGCTGCAGATGTGCCCAGACCTGCCACCACCAGGTGTCTGCGTCTGGGCTGGGAGGTGACGGAGCAAATGTGACTCTTGTCTCCTGGTGTTTCCCGACACTGTCCTCAGAGGAATGTGGAGGACTCAGGCGAGGCCACCTCAGAAGGCCTCTGACAGGGCAGCAGCTCTCTACCCACCCCGTCCCGTCAAAAAGCCCTGCCCCTGCCCCGCTGGTTCTCATGTCTTCCTGCCAACAGCCCCGGGGCAGGCTCCTCCCCCAGGCCACTGATGGGGTCAGGGGAGCGGGAGCTACCCACCTGCCCTGCAGTAAAACGCTGCTCCCGTCGCTAGTGCCCAGACCTCTACAGCTAAAGGTATCTTTTCCTTTTTAATACAATGATCCCATGTTTAAAAATATCTTTTTACTTCCCTGAAGGGGAGGCTGGGAAGGGAAAAATAGACAAAAAAACTGTACTTGAAAAATAACTAAATAAAATTCATTTTAAAAAAATAAATAAATAAAAATACCTTTTTAAAAATTAAAAAATTTTTTTCCAAGCTCCTTGGTCCCCACCGGGGAAAGCTCTCTTGAGAGTTAGTTTCCCAAGGAGGGGCTTTCTGGCAGTGATCAGAACTATTAACGCCGGAGAGACTCTAATTGGGGTGCAAATACTGGAAAAGTTTACCAGCCCATTAGTGGACTCTGAATCCGATGCACAAAGTGTGTTATTAATCTCTGTGTGGCTTTTGGAAATTCATTTCATTTATTGTTTAATATTTTTTTTTATTTTTGATCACAGTTGGCAGTCAATATCATTCTGTATTAGTTTCAGGTGTCCAGCACAGTGGCTGGACAAGCATGTACTTAACCAAGTGTCCCCCCCGCCCCGATATTTCAAGGACCCCCCTGACCCCATACAAAGTTATTATGATGGTATCAACTATATTCCCTGTGCTATAATCTATATTTGTGTGACTATTCTATAGGTTCATTTTAAAGCTCAGGCAGGCTATGAACCATTCTCCACCAAGAGTGATATTCACTCTACAAATATTCATTGCACACTTTCTATGTACTACTGAGCCCAGGCCTTAAGAAGACATCACTATATATAGCATAGGGCACAAACAAACAGCACATTGGCCAGATTCAGCTCGCAAACATATTTCGTTTGACTCACACCATATTTATCAAAAAATTTGAATTAGTTGCCAACTTTTAAGTATCTGAATGTTTCTAGCTTCTCCTGAAAACTCGGGAAACCTGGCAAAACTGAGCCCACATTCCCAGCTGATGACAGGCCGAGTTAACAACTACCCACTTCAGACAGGCACTGGCTCTCAGCTCGCACAGCCCCCGCCGGCCCAGCCCCTCAGCAGGGGCCAGTTCCGGGGATGGGCAGTCACGGCACACCCAGCCCAAGAAGGGCCTCGCTCGGGGACGTGGCCGTCCAGCCAAGCCTCTCATCTCAGAAGAGCTGCTTCTTGCCACCCTAAGAACAGCTCTCAGTGATTTTCTGATTCTGTGTTTTCTTGACTCTTCCCCCTTTTGAATAAAGACTTAAAAAAAAAAAATCCTTGATATTGTCAAGTTAGAGAAGACATCCTGGCGTTAGCGATCACTAAAACGAGGAACTTGACACAAAAGGAGCGTGCAGCAAGGCGGAAGCGCAGAAGCAAAAAGGGAGGACCAGGAGGGCGGGGTGGCACCCGGGGACGCCCCCATTGGCCAGATGGAGACGCTGAGGCCTGGAAACGGGGAAAGCCACGCCCCAGTCCCATTCCTGACCGGCAGGACGGAAGTGTGCTCCTGATGCTCTTCCACACGCAGCGGTGGTCCCTCCTTCCCATTTCCCACTCACCCCCACTCACCCGTCTCCAAGGACTGACAGAGAAGGCCATCAGATCTGGGGATAAATGCAAGGACTGGCTTTGGTGATATCAAGAGCCTAGTTCTAAATGAACTAGCAGAAGATTCATTAATGTTCATCCAAAACTACTGACTCCCTCTCTGTGGGTCAAAACTGCCATATTTGAAGAAGTGTCCATCCCAACGGAGTAGGTCGGGAAAGAAAGTGCATTGTCAAGTTTTCCAGTTATGCACTGCCAAACCCTTCCTCGTGTTTGTAACCAGCACCAGAGTTAAAAAGGTGGGTCCCGACATTTGTTGCTAGTGGGAAGTTTTACTAGCACAACTATAATTCACCGACAACAGACACAATAGTACTGACCAGAATCTCCCATAGGACCAATTAAAGGCATTCATGAGAACTTAGACACTTCTTGGTGTAGTTATAAATCATTTTGTGGCCACTCAATAATACTGCGACCAAGAACTTCTCCGTAACAAATTTAAATTAATCCCCAAATCAGCTTCACGTGCAGCAGGAAGGAAGGGCGGTGTAGGCAGCATGGAGACGGTCTTATTTAGTCTACCGACCCATGAAGGCACAGAGTGTCACGCCTACTCTTACAGACATGTCAGTAAGGTAAAGAAAGCTGACTTCTTCAGCCAGTTCCCAATGGCTAGGAACCGGCTACACCCTGGTCATTCCACCTCCCAAACCGGAACTGTGTGGGCTACAACCCACAACGCAGAAGCCACTACGACAAGTTGGTGACCAAAGACGTTAGGACAAGGACACATCAGAACCAGGCCAGAGAATGCAAGAGGCACCATCAGAGAGGCAGACGCAGGCACTTAGGGCGTCAGAAGAAGGCCAAAGCCCATGGAGTGACCCTGACCCGGCGGTTCAGTTGGTTAGAGCGTCATCCCGATGCGCCAGGGTTGCAGGCTCCATCCTGGTCACGGCCCGTTCGGGAATCAACCAATGAATGCATGAGTGGATAGAAATACAAATCATTCTTTCCCTTTCTCTCTGTCTCTCTAAAAAAAAAAAAAATCAATAAACTTTCTTTTAAAAAGCACATGGAGTAGAGAGTTGGTAGGGGATCAGGGAAGACTTCAGGGAGGCAGTGACGTTTGAGAAAGACCTCGACGAAGCATGGAGTTACAACAGGCAGAGAAAAGAGGAGCAGAAGGGGGTGGGCAGCAGCTACCTGGAAGAGAAATAGCTGGGGTTTGGAACTCACAAAGCAAAGCTTCAACTCTACTTCAGCCATGTGAAAAAAATAATTCTTACCAACACCTGGAAGGCAGGGCCGGGTCCATCCCACCAGGCCTGCGGGGAAGGGTGCCCTGGCCCCTGCTGCAGACCCGACAGTCACCTGGCCAGCATGCCCTGTGTGTGTCCCACCTGGCGGGGGGGAGGCACGCAGCAGGGCCCTCTGGACCCCATGAAGCCCCCCTGATACCCACACTCTCCCACAGGGACCCTCTTCTCTCCTTTCCCTCCTCTTCCTCTCTGAGGCCTGCCCCTCTCAGAGTCAGAACCAGGCACCCTGTGTCTCTGATTTCAACTCTCATTTTCTCTTTCCATCTCCCCACAATCTCAGTCTGTAGAAGGCTTTGGTTCCCCACTCAAGGACCTCCACCAGCATAAGGGTGGGTGGACTGAACTGGGGAGGAGGCAGCAGGAATTCCCCCAGTCCAGCCTCCAGAGAGACCCCTTTTAGGGAGCTGCCTTCTCCTGCAGGTCTGCCTGCCCGCCAGGGTCCTGCTAGCAGCTGCGGTCCATCTCTGTCGGCTCCCAGGGGTCAGAGAAGCCGCTTTTCTGGCAGGTCCTCCTCCCTGTGCTCACAGGGCTCAGCTCCGGCTGGGTGTTTCAGGACATTTATTTTCACTTTATCCTTAGCACCACATACGAGAAGTGCACATCAGATCCCATTTACAACCGAAGCAAGGGAGGTCGAGAAAGAGAGCCCCTTGTCCTGGGAACGCGGGACAGCTAGGGCTGTGCCTTCCTCAAGCACAACAGGGAAGGGGCTTGTTTGGGTTCTTAGCAAAGTGGGCGACCCCACGGCCACGTCAGGGACAGTCCCCACGCGGCCTCTGAAAATAAGCTCCTGGTGGCGCGCGCCGCGGGACCCCGAGGGCGCCCGGGCGAAGGCAAGCGGCGGCCTCGCCGAACAAGACGGGAGCCAGCGAACTTCAGAGCGTCTGGCCTCCCGGGGAGGCAGACGCGGACACGTCTGTGTCTCCCGACAAGTGCCTTCAAGCCCGGCGGGGCAGACACCTCCGCGCCGGCCGCCGGCGAGGTCTCCGCGGGCTCAGGGCGTCCGCGGGCGGCCCCGGAGGGCGGCGGGCTTCCCGGGCGGGGGACTGGCGGCCGGCGGAGGGGGGAGGGGCGGGGAGGGGACAGCGCAGGAGGAGGCCCCCACCCGGGCGCAGGGGGCGGGCGTGCGGGGAGCCGCCCACTTCGCCGCGTCGCCCCGACGGCCGGAGTTTAGATGCGGCGGCGCCCGCCGAGCCGGGGCGGACGCGGGCCGGGGACACGCGCGGGTAGCCGGGCTCCGCGGCGGCCACAGGATGGCCGAGGTAAGGGGGGCGCTCTGCGCGCGGGGCGGCTGGGACGACGCTCCGGCCGGTCCCGTCCGCACGGGGGACCCGCCCTGGCCGCCTCCCAGGCCACCTGCGCGGCGGCGCGGGCCGAGGGGGTCCCGGCGGCCGCGGGACAGCGGCGCGCATCAGGCCGCCTCCCGCCCTCAGCGCTGCGGCTGCGTCCGAGCGCGCCCGCCTCCCGTCCGGCCGGCTTCACCCCGGGACCCACACAGCCGGCAGCTCGCGTTGGGAACGGCCGCTTCTACCTTGGTTTGCTTTCTGTGGAGCGTGTGGCGCGCGGCGGCCGTCGACCCCCAGGGGAGCCGCGGGGACCGGTGGGCGGCAGCGTGCGGGCTCCGGGCCGCGGGCGGGGACACATCTTTTGTGCAAAACCGCCGAGTAAGGTGCCGGCGGGCGGGGCAGGGGCGCCTGGAGAGGCGCAGACGGCGCAGGACCGGCGTGCGGAGTCGGGAACGGCGCGGCGCACGGCGTCGCCAGGGTCTGAGACCCCGACGCCGCGGGGGGGCGGGAGCGGGGCGCAGAAAAGCCGGATGCGCGTCTCCAGCAGCTTCACGGGACACCTGCAGTGACTGAGGGGGCTGGGCGGTGCCGGGAAGAGCGGGGACCGCCAGCGCCGCGTCCCCGTGTCAACTCCCCTCCGGAGCGCCGCGTCTGTTCCCTGCGGCTGGCGGGCCGGGCGGAGGGGGCCGCTGCCTGTCCCCGCGGCCCCCCGGCTTTGCCCTGAGAGGCTCGGGATTTGTCAGCCAGATGTGACAAGATCGCAGAGAGGCGAGGGAAGGAGGAGATCTGATATTAATCAGTGCATAGCTCGGAGCCAAACTTTCTCAAACGCGGTGTAGGAACATGTTCTTCTCATTTAAGGCATCTCTTTGTGGCAGTGCGGCTGCCACCGGCCCGACTTTGACAGTTCAATGGAATGCCAGTGAGCAGCCTTAATTGTGGAAGTGAAATTGTGTGTGCTGGGGCCGGGGGTGGAGGGGGGAGGATCAGACACTCTAAGGTTCCGTAATGTCCCCTGGTTTTATGGCCGCGCTCACCGCGCTCCTTGAAGACAGGGCCTTTAACTCGGGCCAGACGCCCGGTCGCAGCCAGGCCTCTGCTGTTAACACTTAAGGGGCCTGAAAGAGGCCCCGCTGGTGTCCTGGGAATCCCTGTCAGAGGGTGTGAGTGTGTGTGTGCATGTGTGTGCGCGCAGGCGTGTGTGTGTGTGTGTGTGTGTGTGTGTGGGGAAAACATGTGTTCCTACAGCTCTGGGTCCACGGAGCACATCTAGCAACAATTTTTTTTAATATGGATTTCTTCTCATCAAAGCGACAAAGATTTTGGCTTGACCATAAGTGAATTGGAAAACAGCCTTTGACAAGTCACGTTCTTTTTTTTTTTTCCCTTTCCCTCGGGGTCCTTTTATTCCTTGGTTATTGTTTTAAATCGCCAGTGGATTTCATGGGATCTTTTCATGAGGCATCTTGGACTGTTCATTTGCGGACACGTTCCGTTGTACCTGTTCAAATTTTGGTGCAAATGATAAATATACTGGCTTCTCCGTGGTCGGTTCCCATTCCAGTTGCCGTATGGTTATGAAAACACCGTTGAAATTGCAGAGGTCAAAATGAAATTTTTGTGCAGGATGTAAAAGAAAATTACTTCGGACCTTCTCCATTGTCTAGGCTTTGGTTTGTGATTTCAATAACGGTGGGAAGATGGCCACTGCATTTGTTAGGGTGCATTTTGATAAATAATTTTGGCCTTTTCTAGTGGACGTAAAAGACGGAGAACGTGAGTCATCATTTGATTTCTCACCCAATAAGTTTGCCAGCTTTCATTTCACCAAGAAAAGGGTTGCTGCTCGTTCAGCCCCTCTCTTGGTGGGACATGGGCCTGTCAGAGGGGCACATGCTGGGAAGAGGTGGAGGAATCTTCATGTCGCCCAAGTGCTACCCCTGCTTTGGGAACTCATAACCATGTTCAGGCACCTGCGTGATTTAATTTAGAATGTCCTCCGGACCTGTAGAAAATGATTTAGCCACATGCTCCCCCTTCAGTAAGAGAGAAAGTGGTTGGTTTGAAGTGCATGTTTGGCCACTGCCAGGTACTAGGATGTGAAAAGATGATCTGTTTGCTCGGGTTAGAATTCACGGAAGGAATATCAGCAGACACGGAGTAACTGCCACAACAGCGTCAGGTTTGCATAGAGGGCTCTTTTTATTTTTAGTTTTGTTTTCCATGGCTCCCACGCAGCGGTTAGTCCCACATCCCAGGCCCAGGCCCGCATTCTGGACCCGAGAATCATCAGCGTGGAAAGAAGGATAGTCCAACCTATGGGGTGAGAAAAGCCACGCAGATTCTCCCATGGGATTGATAATAAGTGTCTTTTAAGCATAGACCCTTAGCGTTTTCCAATGCGTACGGAAAACTAGACATGGGAAAACAATTTAAAAGTTCAGTCTGTGGGTGAAATTAAACGGCCGTGTAGGGGGTGAGGGGCCAAAGTGTCTTGTAGCTTTTGTACACGACGTTGGGAGCTATTTTGACAGTGGCCATTAAAGAGGTGCCCTAAAGGTTCCACGAGGTAAATTACTTGCAGGAGGAGCATGTATTACCCCAGGGTAAATTTTCACCTCTACAGATGTTCCTGGGAGTGAGTAACTTTTCTCAGAAACATCCCTGCTTGGAAAGAATTAGAAATGCCCCAAAGGTGAAAACTCAGTTCTGAGCCGGTCTTCCTTAGGTAGGTTAGATCAGTGTGTGGGGACTTACTGCATTTTGTTAAATTACCTTATCCCAGGTATGCAACTACTACAGGTTTTTAACTTTACTACATTGAGATAATTCTGTTTTTAGTGGTTTATCTAAGAGATGTTTAAAGATAAACCGGGATCTTTACAAGAACGGGCATCTGGAAAAGTTTTAGTTTTTGCCTCTGCAAATCGGTTTCCACCTGAAAACCTTATTTCTTCTTATCTTGTCATTCTTTGAAGCCCTTTTTCCTAATTCTGGAAATTCCCAGATTCCCAGCGTGGCCCCCCACCCCATCTCCACGCAGCCACACGCCTGTTTTTTATGCAAAGAGGCTGGGTCCGAGGGGCAGTTGATTAGCATGGTCAATAAGGCTGGAAAAGGGTGGATCTACGCAGAGAGCCGACTGTCTCACCGGGATCCAATTTGCTGCCCCTTCAAAGGTCGCAGAGTGGGGAGCAAACAGGCTGTCACAGGGGGCCTCTGCCTCGGGGCGATGATAATCTCACTCAGCTAATGGGAGAGAAAAGAGAGATGGGGAAATAAAACGGGGAGGCCGGGTCCAGGCGGCCTCGGAGAGGGGAAATAGTTGCCTCAGTTCAACTCTCCGTCAGGCGGCTAACTTGTTTTTTCCATAGAGGGATGTTAGTTAGTCTCCTCTTGCAGATGATTTCTGCGATTGAGTCCATTGTGCTCTTAACAGCCCTCCACGTTATTTTCCAGCTCTACGCCAGCTTGCAGGAGCATTGGCCCTGTTCTGTAGCCCTCCGATCGTTTCTTGGCATTACTCATCACGAAAGCAGCATTTTTATACCGTCAGTGTTAACATTGCCCAATACACCAGGTTGAATTTTAAGACAGTGATCAGAATGGCCCATGGAACAGTCTCATTTTTTTCCTTTTTGAAAATCTAGGGTGTTTTTTGGTTTGTTTTTCTTTTTTTACATTTTGTTTTTAAAATCGAGTTCTCATTAAATCCCTAAAAGAAATGTTTGCAAAAGGGAACTTAGAAAAGTTCACGGTTTCATCATTATTTTGCATCAGTAGCCAGAGTGAAGACACATGGCTTGGGTAACTGGCCACCTTACTTGAAATTATCCTGAGGTGTAAATGCCTTTTTTTTTGTCTCTATTTTTGTTCCCCCTCAACCCACGCTGGCTGTTGTGTTCAGAAATCCCCGACATACGTACTTAACGTCCTTCTATTTTTTTTGTTATCAGATGTTTCTGAAGATTACCACTGAAGTCCTCCCAAACTAAAGTTATAAAGAAAAACAGTATATTTGTGTCTTATATTTCTCTGCAGTTTCGTTGTTGCTTGTTTGTTTTTTAAAACAAATGCTTGGTTTGGTTTCTAAGATAATATTTGCGTCTTTTTCTACTTTTTATATTTTTTTGTCTTTAGGACTAATGACTTTAAGAAAAAAGGCCCAGCTGTTACATTTTGTTGGCACACAGTTCAGACTTTGATTTATAGAGATCAAAGGACGAGTGGTTTTCCCCCATCACCTGCTTTGAGCTAAGCAGCAAGAGGACACTGCGAGCATGTCACACGTGCTTCTCCTCGCAGGGGGACTTGGCCCGACATCTGTCCCCGTGGCTCTGCCTCCCACCTGCCCTTACCCCGCCAGACCCTTCTCCCTGCCTCCAGTGGCTCGAGACTGGTCTCTTTTTTCATTCCCCTACTTGCAACGAGAACCCAAAACCTGCCAGTTCCCCTTCCGTGTCATTTTCAGGCTGCTGCCTGCCTCCTGGTCTCCGGGGCTTCCCAAGTCCAGTCTTTCAACCACACTCATGGCGAACCGTGTCTCCCCACACTGTTCAGAATGCCGACGGCTTCATGGACCCCACAGAGAGACCCCTGGCTGCCCATCCGGACAGCCCAGCCCCACCCTGTGTAGCCTGTCTACGTCAGCTTTCACTGCCCACGACCAGTCTGTGCCCTGGGGCGCGGGTGCCCGCCACCTCCTGCAGGCAGCTTCCTCGGCCTCTCCACGGAGCATCGCTTTCTGCCTCCATGTTTGCTGTCGCATGCAAAAAAAGAACGCGTTGGTCAGATGGGGAATGTGGACGTAACTGACTTTTTTTCACGTTTTACTACAGAGCATTTCGTACACAGTTAGAATCGTGGCATGTAGCTTCGTGATGCGCGCTTGGAAGTTCGACAGTGATCACCTGCGGGCCGATCCCATTCCTTCCGCATCCTCGACCCGTTCGTTCCCTGACCATTAGCAGCAGTGG